GGGGGAGGATAGGGCAGGATACCTAAAAACAAAGCTCAATGAAGAAATCACAAAAAGTAACAGTATTGTTGAGGATCACTAAAGCATGTTTGTAACGGTGATACAGGACTAACCGGGTGTACACTAATCCTAATTCACACTTGACCAAACAAAGATTGCAATAACATAACCAACCCCCTAGCTATCCCCCTCTTACTCGGGAATTTTACAATGACTTGTTTATACATGTAACTGATCGTTTCACAACGATACTTGTAAATTGGAAGAATCACTTTACATGCATGTTGTGTGCATGCATGTAAAGAGGGATTCGGAAACATTTTTTTATTTTATACAGCCATGTGCATGCCTGAATTACCTCTCTTTGCTGCCAGTTTGATAACAACTTTGCTTCCCTTTAGTTTTGTATTTGCCCGCTGCTAATCTTAAACTCCATTTCTGAAGGCATACAGGTTTAATTCCTGGATATTCAGTAACACACTTTAAGATAACATCAGTGCCAATATCTTCAAGCGCAAGATCACTCTTCTTTGAGTCTTGACAACCTTCTAACTCACTTAACGACAATAACATTCGTTGATGTTTTGAAGGGAAGCGACGCTACAATTTCTACACTTGCACGTAAAGAACACAAACACTGCCATGGGATAATCATTTTGATCTACATTGAACGCATGAAGTTAATATGATTTGAGAAAATGAACGGACTTGACTGTTATTACGAAAGTTTATTAGTGCGAGATCGAAGAAGGCGCGAAGATAGTAAAGACGCGCCACGCGCTACAGTCTTAGTAGTATCACTCTTGGACTTCTACATATCATTGCCCTCGAGTCTGTCCATCAGAGCTCGTTCGAGTTCTTTGTCAGCATCCACCTCCTGGTATTTGGCTGTCCATTCTCCACTGGCCAGAGAGTAGTCAGCATACAAATCAGCTCGGTCGTCACCGTTTGACTATTCAGTTTACGATGTTGATAAGCGTGAGCGGTCATTCTCTTCAGCGATATAATAAATTTCGGAGTTTTCTGAGTCGATTCTCATTTTAGAATCAGACGAACTAGAAGACATTGTTTGTGAAAACAGAAATCGGTCGACTGCGGAATCCCAGCGATAGAACTTGTGCTGCAAAAAGGCTTCTACACTCGGACAAAGTAAAAGATCTGACTGGGACAGCCGAAATATTCGTTCTGGATTTGACGTCACAGCCTTAACTCTCCCCAGATTCCCCATGCGCGGTCGCGAACCATTCGAAACTCGGTTTCGAAGGGGCACAGAAATTCGAGGATTTAACCAAATCGAAAAATTTTTCGGCAAATTACTCCACAAAATAAGCTTTATTATTTTAGCGAAAAAAATTTTTGGTGTTAGGTACACTTTAATAATAAGCTGACATGTTCATCGATTGCCAATCAATTTACTCATCGAGTTCGGCAGTAAAACAAACGAGCGAAACACTACAAAAAATAAATTCATCCGGTACCTTTGTTTTATCGTTGTTGACTTCATTCACAGTTGTCATCATCGCCTAAAAATGAGTAGCTCTAGTTTTGAAGAAGGATAAATTTCGTTCAATCGATCTNATCCGGTACCTTTGTTTTATCGTTGTTGACTTCATTCACAGTTGTCATCATCGCCTAAAAATGAGTAGCTCTAGTTTTGAAGAAGGATAAATTTCGTTCAATCGATCTGACCTGCTGGCGATCGACGCAACCACTGCGTTTACGATTCTTAAAAGCCTTGAATACGAGTTCTTGAAAAGATTTTTGGTCCAAGGGCAACAGCAGTCATTTTGAAAATTCTCCATCCTTTCAAATATCCTGGACTTAGAGCGGTTTTTGGAATAAATGAAAACTTCATTCAGCAATTGTCCGCCAAAGCTTCTCCTTCAGGGGCATGGGTTGACGTACAGTTTAATTCTGACCTAGCCGGACAGGTCGGGTATTTTTAAAGAACTGTCTATACTTTGTTGGTAACAATGAATTAATTGTATTCCATGGCATCAGACTGTGATGCCTTTGCCAGCATTGTTTACCTAGGTGGCTATTAATTTACTAATTATTAAAAACTGGATCACTGAATAATGCAAATCAATTCATTGAGTTAGTCATCATGGGTTACGAGCCATTTTACCATGCTCTCTACAAGTATGGTAGAGTGCGCGTAAGTACGGCTCGTGTTCCCACAGCATTTCGCGTTCTCCCTAACTTCCACTCGTGTTTCTGTAACTCGATAGAAACACGGTACATGTTTTCTATTTCTTAAATAATAATCATTATTAACGTACTTATCAATTTCAAAGTTGTCAGCAGATCAAGTAAAGATGTTATAATTCTCAAAATATTTACTCCCAAATGAATCATGGGAACACATTGTACATGTGTATAGCAGAGATTTAAAAAATAACCCCTTGTGACAAATTACTATTAAAATGGTCATATTGACGTAAATACGTTTTTTTTTTAAATTTCTTTTGGTTTGATTTTGAGCCCCAAGCAATAACATCTAGCTGAACCTTCATCTTTTGAAAGCCTTGCATTCAATTATGCTGCACATGACTATTAAAGGTCAACGAACCGAACATCAAGTCAGGACATGAAAGCAACAACAGAAGCAAAGTAAATTTAAATCAAAGTACACATACGATCAACATTGTTTAGACTCATTCGGGCCGAGAGCAAGTTTGGATAAGTAGACTCTTCTAACTTGGAGTGCGCAGCCAATGTCTTCAGAACCATTGAGCATGACGCGGTTTCCATTTCGATGGTCTCTTAACTGATTCACCTTTGTAAAATCATACGTCGACATCTGAGCCACTGTTTAGCTGCCGTTGATCATGATGCGCTGCCGAAGCTCCTTCGATATACTCCTGCACAATTTGGGGAATCTTCTCCTCTGCAATTATAGCTTTAATTTTTTTCTGCCTTCTTCCATCCATGTACATTGCGACGATCTTTGGAAAAGATCCGGTAAGAAACGCTATCAAAGTCCTCATGACAGGGGTTGCATCAACATTCAGTAGTATCGTCAATGAGAAAACAAGAAATACAAAAGACACAGTTAAAGCAACCTTTAAAATCAACACACAGACACTTTCTCTGATTGGCATCAGTTCTTCGCAAGCCATGTGGAAAAGCTCTCTGGGGATTTTCATCACATTGTCCTTGTTGCCAACAGCATTTTGTGTGTTTTTTAGTAGTGAATCTGTATTTATAGTCATGTCTGTGACTTGGCTATGTCGGCGTGATTTCTTGTAAGACTTGTAATGTTTAAAGAGCGCAAGGCCAAGATCCTGGTATTTGTTGGTAAAAGAGCTGTAGCTACTCCAAATATAATACAATACAAGAACAAAACAAGCTATAAGCGGAAGGCTTTCTTCAGAGAGCAGGAGTACAAAGGCTGATAAAAAGGCAATTAGAATACCAAAACCAGCAAACATCAACAACCGTACGGATCCCAGCTGTGCTAGTATAGCCACCGCCGCGAGAACAAAACATATAAACAACCTGATCAAACGGTGATTATGGAAGTGAGCGTTAACCTGCCTTGTAATACCACAAAAGACCATTATGGGAGATGTTAAAATAATAGCAAATAGAACTACGAGCAACATGAGTATTAGTAGTAGAATAGTCATTGCAGGGCTGGTGGACAACAAAACAATGAACAAAAACCAGCGGCGAAAAAATTTGGCAGATACTTCAAAAACGGAGGGAATCAAAAGAAAGCACGTCTTAAAATAATTTAAAAGAAGTCGAATAAACAGTCTCCAGCAGTGCACTATAATCTGTGGCTGGATTCTTAGATGGTTTGTAATTGTCTTTGGGAGATTCTCTTGACAGATGAGGGTCTTCGATTTCACACGTCTGCAAACGATGCAAGGACGATTTCCTCTGGAAGACCAGGGAGGAGAAAATGATGTGTAAAAAGCTATAATATAATAACACACATAGGATACTATCATACGTGACTGCAAAAGATGCGAAACGCCGAGATAATTCATAGTCAGAAATTTGCTCTGCTGCAAGTATTCAGCAAATATTGCAGGACCGAGGAATGGGAAAGGAAACACAACAGCTTGTAGAATAAACATTCTTGCTTTGTGCCAGATGGTATCTTCGTTTGAGAAAAAATAGTTCCCCATCAGACATCGAGGGCTCACTGGGCTTGCTCCATCCAGAACAATCTGATGAACGCCGTCTTCTGTGACCTCTGTGGGCGAGAAAAGACAAACGAAAGCAGGGGAATAATAAACGAAAACGGCCATAAACACAACACATAAGCAGAGCAAAACATCCGCCGGCCATCCATTGCATTTTAATAGACCTTCAGAATTACTACTATTATCCCCAGTTGATTTGGTGATGTTGATACAAGGTTGTGAATTATCTGTCGTCTGGGTATTGCAGTCGATGCTATCAAGTTTGACTCCAAGATCTCGAAGACTTGGAAAGAATATGGGTGATGCAACTTTATAATGAGTCGGCTTTGCAGCTGTTGCGTTTACAGGCCTTAAGGTACATATGGCCATGATTTCTTTCTGTTCTCCAGTTGAATTCGGACAAAGCATCATATTTATCACGCTTTCCAATGCCTTCGCGAAAAGTGAAAGTTGTTTATTTGCCAACCATATTTGCCAGTGTTCAGTAACGTTTCCGCTTGAGTTGCGAGATGTTTGGTTTACGCATTTTTCATTCACTCTTTTCTCGTACTTGACAACAAGGCGAATCATTTTTTTCTCGGCGATGGCGGTCTTCGTTTCCTCCGAAAAATCAGAATCCATATCTGTACAGTTCCAGTTACAACGAGTTTCATCGTCAAGACCATCGACCGACTTATTAGTATGAAGCGACAGTTCTACAACCTGTGCGTGACAAAGCACCGTTAGCAACACAGCTAAAGATAGCCGGGAATTTGCCGACAGCATTCTCATAGACTGCAATGGAAAAAGAGCGAGATGAACTTCGGCTTGCTCGAAGTAAGCCCGAGACTTTTATCTTCACTTGCAGCGGAAATGTATTATGCCAAGAAAGCAACTGTCGGACCAAATGTGGAAATATTGAAACTGAAAGTTTTCAATAGTTAACAATAGGTGACGTCACCGATATCTTTGGTATACCCGGAAGTGATGGGAGTGGGGCTAGGGGACCTAGAGGTGAAAGATTAGGAGTAGGGTACCCCCATATGGCTGTTAATGTTTTTTTTGCTTCTGAATATTGGAAAGATTTGAGCGACCTCCTTTGTCTTAAAGACAAGCTCTGTGTTAAACTCTGTCTACTCTGCCTTCAGGGATTTATACTTGAATTGTGCCTGAAATTCACAGGAGAAAACTTGTCCTCGCCATAAACTCGCTTAATCAGCACCTTTTCGTTCCCTGACCAGCATCTGGCCGGAAGTCTCATTGAAATATGACAGCTAATAACAACACAAATATAAACTCTAAATGAATTGATACCGAAAATGAACAACCCGGGGCAATACTGCAAACCGGCAAGAGGATAACAGGGGTATGAAGGGGCGTTTATACGGAAAACTTCTCCCCCAGGGGTTTGGTGTTGACGTACAGTTTAATTCTCACCTAGCCGGACAGGTCGGGGATTTTTAAAGAACTGTGTATGCTTTGTTAGTAACAATGCATTAATTGTGCTCCATGGCATCAGACTGTGATGTCTTTGCCAGCTTGATCATTGGATATTGCAAATCAATTCATTGACTTAGCCATCATGGGTAATGGGCAATTTTACCATGCTCTCTACAAGTATGGTAGAGTACGCGTGATTTTTCGGGGAGTTTTATTTTTATTTTAGTTTAGTTTTTATATTCCACTTGTGCTTGTCGTATATGAGAAGATTTATATTATGGCTGCCTATCATCTCATATCCAACGCGTGCTCGTGGAATAATTGTAAAATATTCTCCTTCGTTGCTTACAGGGATTTTCTTGGTGTAAAGTGAAATATGAAATTTAAGTTACTAAGAGACCTACATAGGAACAATAGTCAGTACTACCGCTGACTGAAATAGTCCTCTCTTTAATTACATAACCGTAATGACATGAAGAAAAAAAACCTTAAATGTACCTTTTTTTTCCTGAAATCGTTACAATGTTTCGGGTAACAAATGCGATCTCTATGATTAAGTTGGTTTTGTTGCTGTTGTTTTGATTGGCGTTGATGCAGTGCTGTTATGTAGCTAGTGCCAGTTTTTTTTTTCCTATAACATCAGTCTCTTCAATGCATGCAAGATAACTTCAGAATACTTTATCTAAAAGCACCACAAGGAGCGCAAAAAAAATACCAACTGCGTGATGACAATATCTACATACGTTAACTAATACACTATATCTTTTCCGCAGGACTCGGTTGGAGAAACAGCTCTCTGATCACTAGGTTTTGTACTTTTGATGTACTCTTTGGCGATTTGTTGAGCATCAATAAGCACAGGTTTAAAATTCTGCTGTCTCCTTCTATCAAGGTAAATAGTTACGATCTCGGGAAACAATCCAACAGCAAAAGTCAAGAAAACTTTTGTCAAGTGAGATGCATTCAGCAGCATTACCAATGAGAAAACTGAGAAGACCAAGAAGACACTCAGAGCAGCACTTCAATAGGCCGCGTTAGTTCCTCGCATGCCATATCAAAAAAGCGTTTTTGGAATTCTCTTAACATTATCCAAGTACGGCCATAGTCAGGTGTGAAGTCTTGCTTGTTCAAACTAGTTTTACGTGTTCTGCCCAGCTTTAGCCGGTCCTTCTGTTCAAGAGGCGCTGCGGCCAGAACTTGGTATTTCTGAGTAAAGGGTCTGTAGCTATTCCACGAGTAACCAGAAACTAGCACACAACAGGCAAACTCTGGAAGTTTTTGCGTAGAAAGTAAAAGCGGAATGGCTAATTGGAGGAATATCAAGACACCAACAACAGCATACAGCAATACAAATAGNCTCTTGACAGATGAGGGTCTTCGATTTCACACGTCTGCAAACGATGCAAGGACGATTTCCTCTGGAAGACCAGGGAGGAGAAAATGATGTGTAAAAAGCTATAATATAATAACACACATAGGATACTATCATACGTGACTGCAAAAGATGCGAAACGCCGAGATAATTCATAGTCAGAAATTTGCTCTGCTGCAAGTATTCAGCAAATATTGCAGGACCGAGGAATGGGAAAGGAAACACAACAGCTTGTAGAATAAACATTCTTGCTTTGTGCCAGATGGTATCTTCGTTTGAGAAAAAATAGTTCCCCATCAGACATCGAGGGCTCACTGGGCTTGCTCCATCCAGAACAATCTGATGAACGCCGTCTTCTGTGACCTCTGTGGGCGAGAAAAGACAAACGAAAGCAGGGGAATAATAAACGAAAACGGCCATAAACACAACACATAAGCAGAGCAAAACATCCGCCGGCCATCCATTGCATTTTAATAGACCTTCAGAATTACTACTATTATCCCCAGTTGATTTGGTGATGTTGATACAAGGTTGTGAATTATCTGTCGTCTGGGTATTGCAGTCGATGCTATCAAGTTTGACTCCAAGATCTCGAAGACTTGGAAAGAATATGGGTGATGCAACTTTATAATGAGTCGGCTTTGCAGCTGTTGCGTTTACAGGCCTTAAGGTACATATGGCCATGATTTCTTTCTGTTCTCCAGTTGAATTCGGACAAAGCATCATATTTATCACGCTTTCCAATGCCTTCGCGAAAAGTGAAAGTTGTTTATTTGCCAACCATATTTGCCAGTGTTCAGTAACGTTTCCGCTTGAGTTGCGAGATGTTTGGTTTACGCATTTTTCATTCACTCTTTTCTCGTACTTGACAACAAGGCGAATCATTTTTTTCTCGGCGATGGCGGTCTTCGTTTCCTCCGAAAAATCAGAATCCATATCTGTACAGTTCCAGTTACAACGAGTTTCATCGTCAAGACCATCGACCGACTTATTAGTATGAAGCGACAGTTCTACAACCTGTGCGTGACAAAGCACCGTTAGCAACACAGCTAAAGATAGCCGGGAATTTGCCGACAGCATTCTCATAGACTGCAATGGAAAAAGAGCGAGATGAACTTCGGCTTGCTCGAAGTAAGCCCGAGACTTTTATCTTCACTTGCAGCGGAAATGTATTATGCCAAGAAAGCAACTGTCGGACCAAATGTGGAAATATTGAAACTGAAAGTTTTCAATAGTTAACAATAGGTGACGTCACCGATATCTTTGGTATACCCGGAAGTGATGGGAGTGGGGCTAGGGGACCTAGAGGTGAAAGATTAGGAGTAGGGTACCCCCATATGGCTGTTAATGTTTTTTTTGCTTCTGAATATTGGAAAGATTTGAGCGACCTCCTTTGTCTTAAAGACAAGCTCTGTGTTAAACTCTGTCTACTCTGCCTTCAGGGATTTATACTTGAATTGTGCCTGAAATTCACAGGAGAAAACTTGTCCTCGCCATAAACTCGCTTAATCAGCACCTTTTCGTTCCCTGACCAGCATCTGGCCGGAAGTCTCATTGAAATATGACAGCTAATAACAACACAAATATAAACTCTAAATGAATTGATACCGAAAATGAACAACCCGGGGCAATACTGCAAACCGGCAAGAGGATAACAGGGGTATGAAGGGGCGTTTATACGGAAAACTTCTCCCCCAGGGGTTTGGTGTTGACGTACAGTTTAATTCTCACCTAGCCGGACAGGTCGGGGATTTTTAAAGAACTGTGTATGCTTTGTTAGTAACAATGCATTAATTGTGCTCCATGGCATCAGACTGTGATGTCTTTGCCAGCTTGATCATTGGATATTGCAAATCAATTCATTGACTTAGCCATCATGGGTAATGGGCAATTTTACCATGCTCTCTACAAGTATGGTAGAGTACGCGTGATTTTTCGGGGAGTTTTATTTTTATTTTAGTTTAGTTTTTATATTCCACTTGTGCTTGTCGTATATGAGAAGATTTATATTATGGCTGCCTATCATCTCATATCCAACGCGTGCTCGTGGAATAATTGTAAAATATTCTCCTTCGTTGCTTACAGGGATTTTCTTGGTGTAAAGTGAAATATGAAATTTAAGTTACTAAGAGACCTACATAGGAACAATAGTCAGTACTACCGCTGACTGAAATAGTCCTCTCTTTAATTACATAACCGTAATGACATGAAGAAAAAAAACCTTAAATGTACCTTTTTTTTCCTGAAATCGTTACAATGTTTCGGGTAACAAATGCGATCTCTATGATTAAGTTGGTTTTGTTGCTGTTGTTTTGATTGGCGTTGATGCAGTGCTGTTATGTAGCTAGTGCCAGTTTTTTTTTTCCTATAACATCAGTCTCTTCAATGCATGCAAGATAACTTCAGAATACTTTATCTAAAAGCACCACAAGGAGCGCAAAAAAAATACCAACTGCGTGATGACAATATCTACATACGTTAACTAATACACTATATCTTTTCCGCAGGACTCGGTTGGAGAAACAGCTCTCTGATCACTAGGTTTTGTACTTTTGATGTACTCTTTGGCGATTTGTTGAGCATCAATAAGCACAGGTTTAAAATTCTGCTGTCTCCTTCTATCAAGGTAAATAGTTACGATCTCGGGAAACAATCCAACAGCAAAAGTCAAGAAAACTTTTGTCAAGTGAGATGCATTCAGCAGCATTACCAATGAGAAAACTGAGAAGACCAAGAAGACACTCAGAGCAGCACTTCAATAGGCCGCGTTAGTTCCTCGCATGCCATATCAAAAAAGCGTTTTTGGAATTCTCTTAACATTATCCAAGTACGGCCATAGTCAGGTGTGAAGTCTTGCTTGTTCAAACTAGTTTTACGTGTTCTGCCCAGCTTTAGCCGGTCCTTCTGTTCAAGAGGCGCTGCGGCCAGAACTTGGTATTTCTGAGTAAAGGGTCTGTAGCTATTCCACGAGTAACCAGAAACTAGCACACAACAGGCAAACTCTGGAAGTTTTTGCGTAGAAAGTAAAAGCGGAATGGCTAATTGGAGGAATATCAAGACACCAACAACAGCATACAGCAATACAAATAGTACGCCGACAAGACACTAAGGTGTCAAGAAGAACGACAACTGAGCGAGTGGCGGGGAAACAATACTGATATAACGTGATGAAGAAAACATGTTTTATTTGTGACTGACTACGATTAGTTCTCACGATGCGCGGTGAAGGAAAACAAAGGTCATTAGGATCCTAACACGCCGCAATCAGTTGAGCAACAGTTGAACGAAAACGCTTAACCTGGTTTCTAAAATTGTCAATGAAAAATTCGCTTCTTCGAATTAATTATAATGAAAATGTAGGCAAGCAAAGTCAAAAATACTCGATGAAAATTGAGACAAACAAAGTCAAAATACTCACGTTTAAGTAAATATCTTAGCTTGGCAAAAGTCAAAGGCTCGAAGTAGAGTTTGGATTGTTGAGAATAATCTTCACATTGCCGAAACTTAAACAAAAGGAATTTGCACTAAACTCGACAGAAATTTTGCAGCTAAAATGAAACTGCACACGTCATTTTATCAAACACGGCCGTGCGTACATAAAAATTTTTACCATGATGGCTCAATAGGAATTAGATAGGACCAGCGCGCTCTATGTTATAATAACATTTATCATACATATACACATTTGAATAGCAAAGTAATCAGCACAAATACAATAGACGGTAGATGATAGACCAGAGAAACACAACCTGAAGGGAGAAACTGAGATTGTCCAAGAGGGGCGAGAACTAAGACAGTCTTTCACGCCTTTATAAAGAACTCGGTACACAAAAGCGAGACACTGCCCCATATTATAACAATGAGAACCACCTAATTGTGTGAAGGCGAGTACGCATTCATTGTGGAAGTTCTCGATGAGAACAGAACCAGATAAACTTGAGGTGCTTATCATCTGACTCAAACGCACCTACGCAGGACTTCGTGCAACTTGTTTTCCCTATGATGAAATGGAAGTAGAAAGCTTGAAAACAGTAACAAGTGCATTAAAGGGTAGAAATAGATGCGTTCTCTCCTTTGCACTTATTTGAGGATACAACACATTTCGGTAGAGAAGGTATTCAAAGAAAATAGCTGGAACAAGAAATGGCAGGGGCAAGATAACACGCATAATGAACTTTCGGGCCTTGTGCCACATGATGCAGTCCTTCTACAGTTATTTGACGGAACCCTTCATGTGTGTCCTCTGTGACAGCAAAGAGACAAACAACTGTTGAGCCAATTTAAGCGAACAGTGTCATGAAAACGAAACAACCACGGGCAATAAGAAATGTCCATCGACCGTTCGTCCTGTTGACTTCTTTTATCTTGATACACGTTTAATGACCACTTTGCTTTACCTCGGTATTGCACAATTCGCCAAGCGACGCAGCCGACGAGCGAAGAACTCTCTCCAAATAAACACGGGAGGAGAGCTCGCCCCTAAGCTGCTGCCATTAGCTGACGTAACTTTAAAGTTACAGCTAACTTTGACATAAACATGAACAAGAGCTCCTATCCAGGTCGAAAACCTTCGTAAAGTGTTGTAAACAGAACTTAGAAGTTTCCTGTCTATCTGCTAGGACAGGGAAAACTACGACAATTTCATAGCAACTCCGTTAAAATTACAAGCCTGATAAAAAAGGCCGCTTTCTTCGCTGTATAAGAGGCTTCCCGACTCATGCTAAGTAATGTCAGTACGTAAATGCAACATATTCAACGTTTGTTGCGCAAATTTCCCGTTCAAGTTACTTTATTTACTACTGAAAACTGGAAATGCCGTAAAATTGGAATAGCAGATAACCACCGGAATACTTCTGAACTTAAACAAAGAACACATGATACGGGATGCAGGGCTTTTTAATTTAAGGATGATAAAATCAAATTTTAATGGAAGGAAGGCATGTAGTTTGGCGTAGAGGTGAACGGGGTCTTTCTGTCTTCTTTAAGGAAATGAAAGGAGATTGAAATGCCGTAATTTCTCGATTAAATGGCCTTGGCGCTATTTCAAACTTGACTTCGTTGATCCGGCGTATATTTGCACTTTATTCGAGGCAACCCTTATTCGAGGCTGAAGTTTATAATTTATTAGAGTGTTTGGTCATTATTTTTGACAGCTAAATATCGATATCTTATGATTAAACCCAAAGTTAGCCCGCGACCGGGGACCGCGGGCCAAAACATTTAGTTCGCTGGTTCAGATTTCTTTTCATGTAATACAATAGTTAACTTTTTTGGAAATGAAGAAACTTTAAAGCTTGCTACTGTTTAATAGATGAAGCTAGACGAGTCAGTGACCACTTAACAATTAGACCCGTGGCCCTTGAGGGCGAAGGGTCTAATTGTTTTAGTATCACCCAACTAATCGAACAGAAAAGGTAATAATAAAGTTAGCAAATGCAAGTTGAAGAAATATTTATTTGGGAATAAAACGAAAGAAAGCGTCACGTTCGATGGCGCCAATTTCGCTACTAGATGACTATTACCAATAGTCCCCTAGTAGCGTAGCCAATCAAAATGCAGGATTTGCATTAGTCCACTAGTTGGGTGATACTAAAAAGCGTTATTCAACCTCATATCACGGATTTACGTTTGATATGTTTAAGTTAGTGACCCACAAATCATAATGCTACGCCACCACTTGTAATCTGACTAAGACCCAGTTCACTTTAATCTGAAGAAATTTGAAATGATTTTTTTGGTGCACCGAAAACAAAGTTTACCGCAATCGGTTTCGTGAATGCCTGAAGAAATTCGAAAGCGCTGTCAGGTATTGTGGGGTTTACGGCAAAAACAGATGTTTCTGAAAACGTCAACGTCAAAGAGTCTAATTTAAAGCGGGTGGAAGTGTGGAACGCATCTGGAGTGGTTGTAGCAGCACGGAAAAAGGTCTTGAGTGCTTAAGGTTGTGGTGTACACGATGAAAGGCTGCAACTGAGGAAAAAAAAAAGTTGCATTTTTAAATTTATCTAGCATTCTATCCGTTTTCCGCGATAAGCACATGTTGATGGAAACTGGCCACATAAGTCTTTTGAGAACAATGGTTTGTTGACGCAGCCTGACAAAGCGAGCTGAGATAACAAAACCGCAGTATGGTGATTAAAGTTTGCGCAGTGTTTGACGTTAGCAACTGTGGTTTGAGTGTCATCAGGTGAAGATAATATATTTACATTCATTCAAAAGGCACCCCGAATGGGAAAAGACTCTTTGGAGAGGACAGACTTATTTCAAGTCATTCAAACAGTGTAAGAGACCGTACAATAAAATTTTAAGGGTCTGTAAATCATATGCCATGTCGCAACTTTCTTTTGAATTTCTCTAAGCGTTAAAAAAAAGCTACAGTTTAAAAGTCATATTAAACAAAGGGCAGTAGCGATTGGACAAATTAATCTTTATTATCTGGTTAGAAAATCAACGTTCCTTTTCCTAACACCCCTAAAATGTTGTAAAGGTAAATTACATTCTTTCTGTG